CCCCACCATGGACTGTTCTCCCTGCTGCCCTCTGGGAAGAGGCTTCACAGCATTCAATGCAGGTCCAGCAGGTTCCGAAACAGCTTCTACCCCACCGACATTAGACTGATGAACTGTTGAGAAAACTCTAAATCAAGTTGTATGCTGATGAAGATTCTCAGTATTCCAGGTCAATCAAAAAGAGTAAAAAAACAACAACAATCCACTGGACTTTTTTCCATGTTTGAAGAAGTTTCTCTTTCCATCCAGGAAGATTTTTAATTCAAAATGTCAGAAACAGCGTTGAGTTCCAGGCTTTATTGAATGGACCAAAGCAAAGCATTGTTTTTGCCTTAGAAAACATGCAAATTAAACCTTATGAGCAGATCCGCTCCTTTTGAATCGGTATAAATCACAAATCCAGATTCTGCATCACACTGATGACATCATAGAACTCAACTCTAATGTTTTTTTTCACTGCATTTTAGCACCATATCAATGCCTTTTTGCACTTCTCTAAACCTTCCAGCCATTTATCTCCCACACTGTTTACATTTGATCACTGCTGCACTTTATACATTGAAATGTTCATTTCACTGCTAAGCTGCTCATTAACTCTCTCAAAGATGTATAAACAAAATATCATTTTATTCACTCTGTGGATAAAAATGACTATAAATTTGGTCTAACTTCTTGCCACAGCTGAGTAGTTTTCCTCTCACAGGTAGAAACCATCTTCCTGGATCTCTCCTCCACCTGGAGCAGCAGGTGAGTGTCGGACTGACCCAGTTGGAGCGAAGAGGAGGGGGGTTCGGTGGGGAACCACCCTCGCCTTTTACCCCACAGAGACTCACCCTCGGTAGTGGGCTTTAACCTTCACCCAGTCGGAGCTCAGGTCCATAATGGATCCGTTGGCCTGCAGCACATGCATCGTTAGAGTTCGGTTCACCTCCCGGCAGCCCGACCCAAACTGGACACGGCCAAAAGTCTCCAACTAGCCGTTACTTCCTAGGAGCGGCTTTTTCATGCCGAACCTTTGCTCCGCCGTTTGCTTCCGACTTCTTTAAAGTTTGAAAAGCTGCTTGGAAGTTTTTCTGCTGTTTGAGGCTCATTAGAAGCTTCAGGGACCAAGTTTCTATCAAAGAGTCAAAGCGGCGAAGTTATTTCAGGGACGGGTTTTCAAAATAAGATACAAATGAGTCTGACGCTTTAAAGTTTGATGGCAGTGTTACAGTGGTGCTTTTATTTTGAAGGCAACTCTTCTCTGTGTTTCCTGTGATGTTTAATTTAACTTGACTTCCTGTCCTCCGTCTCACTATGGTTACTGTAATCCAAATTCACCTGTCCTGCTGTTCCCCTCCATGGCTGCCACAGCAACAGCTCCAACAGGAGAGGAGGAGGAGGAGGAGGAGGATCACATTTATGTCCAGAATTATGATCACTTCACTTTATGTCTCCATTAGTCTTACTGCAGCTTCTGCGGCCTGTAAATAATTATTAATGATTAATTGTGCGGTTTGTTTGTTTGTTTTTTCTGTTAATTTGCTGTGGGTAAACATTTCACTATAAAGTTATGCCTTTAATAAAACAAACAAAACCCCAAAACAAGGTTAAACCCCACAACAAGCTTAGAAAAATTCCAACATTAATCCTGATTGGTTTAAAGACCTGAGGCGCCACCTGCTGGACATCCGTGAAATAACAAACAATATCTATTACTAAAGATGTAATTTCATGTTTGGGGCTCTGGTGTAGAGAACTAATCACGCTGTATTATTTTTTAAAATCATTATTCCATTATGAATGTATAACTAAAAGAACAAACTGCTTTAATTCAGAAAAATATATTTTAAATACCTAATCTTGACTTTTTTGTAAGGAAATACACAATAATCTAAGAGGAATAATTCATTTCTAATCTTCTCCTCAACTGTAAAACTTTGTTCATGTGAAATTGGAAAATTAAATAATGGGAAAAGAAACTGTTCAAATTTACTGTCTGGTTACCATATGAAAACATTTATACTTCCTTAAGACACTAAATATAAATTTTTTTGTTGTTAGTTAAAATGTATGAAGGTTAAAATATTCAGCTGTAGGCTGATCCAAAATGCTGCAGCCAGAGTTCTGATGAAAATGAAAAAGAGAGATCATATCTCTCCTA